GTCTTACAATAACCTGGGTCTTGTCCACTGGCACCTGGGTGACCTAAAGCGAGCAAAAGACTGTTACAAGCGAGCGCTGGACGTTTTTCTGGAAAAGCTCGGACCTGAGCATGTTGATGTCGCATCGTCTTACAATAACCTAGGTCTTGTCTACTGGCACCTGGGTGACCTAAAGCAGGCAAAAGGCTGTCTCGAGCGAGCGCTTGATGTTTGGCTCAAAAAGCTAGGACCTGACCATGTTGATGTCGCAGCGTGTCATGATAACCTGGGTGGTGTCTACCAGCAGCTGGGTGACCTAAAGGGGGCAAAAGATTGTCACGACCGAGCGCTGGATATTCGGATGAAAAAGCTCGGACCTGAGCATGTTGATGTCGCAATGTCTTACTGTAACCTGGGTCTTTTGCACTGGCAGCTGGGGGACCTAAATCAGGCGAAAGACTGTCACAAGCGAGCGCTAGATGTAAGCCTGAAAAAGCTTGGGCCCGAACATAATGATGTCGCAATGTCTTACCATAACCTGGGACTTGTCCACTGGCAGCTGGCTGACCTAAAGCAAGCAAAAGACTACTACGAGAAAGCGCTGGATATTTGGCTAAAAAATCCCGGACCCGAGCATGTTTATATCGCAAATTGTTATCATAACCTGGGTCTGGTCCACTGCCAGCTGGGTGACCTAAAGCAGACCAAAGACTGTCTCGAGCGAGCGCTGGATGTTCGGGTGAAAAAGCTCGCAGCTGACCATGTTGATGTCGCAACGTCTTACAATTACCTGGGTCTTTTGTACTGGCAGCTGGGTGACATAAAGCAGGCAAAAGACTGTAACGAGCGAGCGCATAATTGTCTAAAAATGTCCAGTTCGGAACATGTCACGGTAGCAGATACTTACATAAACGTGGGTGTGTTGCACAATTATCAGGGTCAGATACAGGAAGCAAAGGAGTGTTTCGATCGCGCATTGGCGATATGTATCAACACCTTTGGCCCTGAAGATGAAAAAGTACGAGTCCTTCAGGATA